TTTCAAATATCATAATTATGTGATTTTAGTATTTTCATTAAAAATTTTTTAATTTTAAAATTTATATATATATATATATATATATATATATGCGCGTGTGTTAGAATAATGATAAATAGTTAAATTCAAAAATACAAATAAAATAATTGAAAATTTTAAAATTTATTTGAAATTTTTTAATTTTAAAGACTAACTTGATATATTTTCATAATCTAAATTTAACTTGATATATATATATACAAAAATAAATTTCTCTTTTAATTAATTTTTTATCAATATCCTTTATTTCACATTATTATGTATATTTTGGATAGCCAAACGATTTAAATTTTATTAGAGAAATATATCTTCGTATTATAATTTGCATTATCTTAATTTTGACTAGTTTCTTATAGAAATTTTTATTGTTATGTGTTGTATGATTTTTATTTTAAACTATTATAATTTTATATCTTTTCGAAGTATTGTTTCTTGTTGGTTAACTTGTTAATGAGCCATAAATCTCATATGTGGTGAGGAGCTAAGCTCTAATGTTGGTCAATCGGTACAATGGTCCTGGTAGTAAGTCTCATAGGTGAGGCAATAAAATCGTTGGTCAACCTAGATGGTTCCGATAGAAATTAGAACTAAGCCACAATAATGTCTAGGTTAATTAAGATGTTATTCAATAATAAAAAAATGGAACCTTTAAAAAAATTAAAATTAGAACAAGTAGATTAATTGTGTGATACTCTTACTATCCCAACACATACATCGTAATAATGTAATGAAATTAAGAAAAATAAACTTTCAAAGTTGGTAAAAGGATTTACATAAAATTTCATAATTGTTCTTTTTTCAATATCCAAAATAACTGGAAATAAAACTTGGAAGGTAAAATTTAAGAGTTTATAAATTATTTTCAAAAGACAAGGTTCAACTCTATATACAAATACAATTCATGTCCTAGAAATCCTCTGTCTCGATATCACAATATCAGAGCATACCCATAATTCAACTGTTGGCATTCTAGATGCCACTCATAGCCAGATCTTTCTCACCTAAAACATCCACAAATTATACGGTGAGAAAAGAAAACATCTATATGTAAAGCACATAAAAACACACCACAACATAATCTCTTCATAACTCATTACATAATGAAATATTTACAAGCATCTATATATATATATATATATA